ATTTATTATTAAGACATTGGTAATATGGTAAGTTAACAAAAGGTAGACACAATACACACATTTAAATACTGTACTTTAGTTTTAAGTTTTAATAAATTATTACTATTTTCTGCTTCAAGGCATTACTTTTGAGATTATTATATATATTAGAAAATATAGCATAATGATAATACTAGTTATTGTAAACTTTACAAACCACCCAGCAGTATGTAAAGTCAAATTATAAAATACAAGTAAATAACAATTGCACAACAGAATGTACACTGCTTAGGTAAATGATCTCAGTACTTGTTCATCACTGAGCAATTTGTTAATATGTGTTTTGAGCCAAATGACAGAGAGAGAGTGACGTTAGAACACGTCGTACTATGGCAACCTCCCGGAGCGGACAGAGGGAGTCAATCGTTGGGCATGCACAGACAGATTGTGCGAGCGGCGGGCCTTGAACTTTCTAAGGGAAAAAACACTTTCTCACGGACGGTGACAGCGAAATGGATAACAGTCTTGAGTACCTGCTGATCTTTCAAGCTCTGGATTCTGGGACTGTTGTATAACATTTTCATTAAAAACCTTTTTACTGTTTTGTTTTTGTTACTCATCATTGTAGCTTGCTGTTAATGCTGTGCTAACAGTAGCGATTAGCTGTGTTAGATACGTTAGCCGTTGACGTTAATGCAATTTAGTATTGGTATACAGAACTGTTCTCTTAAAAAAAAACACTGTTATAATTAAGTGAAGATGCTCCCAACTAATTTGAACCTTTGGCTTCTAAAATATGTGGTTCTATTGCGTACATAACGTAATGTCAGCTAGACCGATATTAAAATTTATAATATTGTTAAAGTCACTAAAATGGCGCCTGAAGCCTGTTGTGACGTGAGCTCTGTGTCTGCTCTAGAAACTCAGAAATTCAGTAGAGCTGAGCCGTACTATTAATACACATGAACCTGTACTTTGAATTCTGTAAGAGCTGTATAAAATACAGCTATGCACAAGTGTTTTGAATGAATAGAAATGTGACTTGAGAAGGTGTGTCTTTGACTGTTCCTGTATAACTTATTTTCGGACTAGTTGACAAGTTATGCTCCAGTCATTTGATGTTTCCAAGATAGATGTTCTTTTGTAATATAGTTAAATTTTCTTTGTACATTTCATTTATCGACCATCATACATTAAGCCAAGAAGACACTGTTAGATTTGTATTGTTAATTGTCATTTATGCTTAGAGATATTTAACCATGAATGAACTGAGCTAGCTAGCTGGCTGGCAGTTTTGGCTAACTACCCATTGGTAGTGAACTGATAATACTGCCTTGGTAAAACTTAATATTTGACCATGACTGATGTTACTACAGTAAGTCAAAGCTAAAAGAACCTTAATGTTTGCAAGCCAAAGTTAATTACCTTAACAGAATCCAGTCCGAACCTGCACCCTCATGTCCTTTGATTCAAACAGTGAGATAATGGACAGAGCCACTTGAGGGCAGCCAGGGGGGAGGTAGTGTTACACATTTTCGTCTGTGTAAAGCTTGT